ATGTATTTCTCTAAAATTAATGAAACTGTTTCATGTATTTCTCTAAAATTAAAATAATGAAGATGATAATATCCATGATTAACATCVTYMAYAATAAAAATGATTAATCAATCTCTCATAATTACAAAAAAATAAACAAAATGAAAAATTATGATTAGTTGAATGAAGTTTGTAAGGTTTGTACAAATTAGGTGGTTTTTATTTGAACGTTCCCCTATATATATATATATATATATATATATATATAAGTTACAAGTAGCTAGTTGATGATTGGCCAACCTTGAGGAGTTACACATATTGAATGTCATGATTTAACACTCACTTAACTCCCAAGACTCATAGTCTTCCTCATAGGTTTCTTCTTCTTCTTCACTTATAACTCTAACACACACACACACATACACATACCATACCATAATCACATAGAGAGAAAGCTATGGAGAGAAAAAACTAGAGGAAGAAGAAGAACGGGAAAAGGGAGAGGGATTTGGTTGAGTTTCTTCAAGGTCCGATCATAAAAAGTAAGCCTTTCCTCCCTTGGTATTTCTAGGTTATAAAACAGCCCCTATGCATGTCAAAGAAAATATCACCATAAATCGTAGGAACCTTATTAAGTTCTACAATTTTTACAGAAGAACCATCTATGTGTTTAGTTTATTTTGTTAGAATAAACGAAAACCTATTTCGGACTTGAACTAGGTCAAAAACTAGGGTTTTTACCCGACTGTCAAATACGTTTCTGAAATCATCTACTGTTTTGTTAAAATCGCTCGTTTAACCAATGAACATGAGGCTTACATTTCTGAAAACCTAAGTGAGTCTAGTTTCTTCCAACTTCAGACCACTTTTCCTAAAAACAAAGTTAACCATAGCCAAAGTCACCATCTATACAGGTCTGTCTGTCCAGGTGATTAGTATTATGGTGACTGCTGTAAAGCATCGACTTTGGAATTTTACTGAGATTCACATGTTTATCCTATGGGGCTTATTTTTGGACACAACATACCTTGATATGTCTATTTTGTGTAGTTTTAGTTTCATGAAATATTACTGAGCTTAAATTGGTCAAATCAAATTTTTCCACAAACTGGTCTGAAACTGTAACTGTTAGAATTGTATGAACTTTGAAAAATCACATAAAATCATTCATGTTGAATTGGATGATGTGCTTTATATTTCCGAAAACCCCAAAGAGTCTATTTTCATAATCTTTAAAAACATTATGGACTAGAAGTCAATAATTGGCTCAAAAACCCTAAGAAGAGAAAGGTGTCGAAGTTAAAACTAGTAAAGATAGGTTAATATGTTAGGGTTTTATCCCTAGAGGCTAAGTACATTATTAAACACTTGTGTAGGTCTTCAAGCCTTAAATCTGAACTTGGATAATACCCTAGAATTGCTTTCAAACAGGTGAGTTTCACTCCCCCTATGTATGTATGATTATGTATACGATATGCATGAACACAACTCCTCATTTCATGAGACTCCCTCATAAATGAGACTACGACTTGGTCCAAAAGGGCTATTACGATTATGGTTCGGAAGGGCTACTATGATTTGGTCCGAAAGGGGCTGCTATGATTGGATCTTGATAAAGATCACTATGAATATATATGTTAGGACCGTGTTTCTCACTAAGCGTTAGCTTACCCTCCCATGTTCATCCCTTTCAGGTACTTATAGGGTTGATAAGGGGAAGGCTCCGGTGTGATTACGACCTCCGCCGCATTTATCGCCAGTCTTTTGAGATGCCATTTATTTACATACTTCCGCTACGTTTTTATGGTTTCATAATTATCACGTTGAACTAGTTCTAACTGTCTTTATACACCATGTTACTTTTGAACATGTTTGATTGTATTGAGTGAAAAACTTGTTTTGCCTTTTGTTTAACGGTACGAATGTGATAACACTCCCTTATTTCCCTTATATTATTGTTTTAGAAAAAAAAATTTGGGGTGTTACAGAGGTGGTTCAGATCAATAGTGGTTGGATGTGGTCGACGATGGTCATATTGAGTTTTATGAGATTAGAGTATATTAGGTTAAGGGCATATTTGGTGTAATGAAGATAGAGATTCCATTCCATCAAAATACCATGTAGTTGGTCAATGTTAAATTTCTTTATTTGTGAAATTTGTAGGATTTAAAGATTTTTTTCATGAAAAAGAATGAACCAAACGAGAGAATGAAATTTGGTCAATGGAATTCAACATTCCAATTCCATCAAATTCCTCCAGAATTTGCGAACCAAAAGTCACCTTAGAGATATTTCCCTTACCTTCAAATATTGCAAACTGAAAATATCGTAGAACACAAAATATCGCAGACCATAATATTGCTCAAGTCTCTAGTAGCGATATTTTAAAATGTCCCTTCACACAATAACGATATCTTCAAAATGTCGCTCAACACTATAGCTATTTTCTAAAACTCAAACAAATCACTAAGCACTATGTGATTTTTATCAAATATATCTCAACACTTGGCGATGAGTATTCAACTGACGATATTTAGAGATCTGACAGAAACTTCAAGAATTTGATCAACAAGTCACAAAAACTCTTATTTTTATTCCAAAAATTGCACAGCTAGCTCGAAAATCAATTATAAACAACTTTAATGAAGCTGATTACACCAACAACATGACAAAATTGATCAATTTGATCAAAATTGTTCAAGAACAGTTCATAAAGTGTCGAACAAACTCAAACATGTAAAACTTCAATTCAACCATCTTTCTTTGAAATTCGATCAAATTAACTACACAAAATTATCCGGAAATAGTTTTTGATTGAAACTATTCCAGTCCAACAACTCCAAAAATCGATCAAGATTTTGAAGAACCTTCAACAGAGTTGTCGAACACAAAAATGGTGAAAAAAATCCAAGAAATCTTCAAAATCCATCAAATTCTTAGTATAAAAATTGTTCTAGACCACTGTAATCTGCTTTGATACCAATTGATAGTTCCACATATCAATATAAACAAGTTATCGATAAAGAAATCTTAAAAACATAACAATGGCAAAAATAGTTTTTGTATTGAGAGAAATTAGCCAGTAGACTGTATTACAATTGAAAAGGCTTTACACAAAAATGAAAAATTATTTATAGTACAAGGAAACTTGAATACAACACAAAATCACATCGACTTAAGATTAAGATTTTTTCATTCATTCCCATCCAAACTCTACTGCGGTGACGATACTGTAGGGGAGGTCCTTTCGTTTCTCGACAGTGAAGTAAGACCAAGCTCATGAGCTTATTATCTCCAGGAACATTTGGAACATTTCGTTTCTGAGCAGAAGAGCCGTTTGAATATGATATCTATCTAGTGTGATGTATGGAATATATGACAAAAGTGCACAGAGTTAGCCGATGCTTATTCCCCAGATACCGTCATTGCTTCTTTTGAAATCCCAACACTTCCTCTTCCCCATTGCCGCATCCACCACCCACTCAACAACCCTCTCACCCGATGACTACAAGGGAAAAAGACGACATTTTTAAACCTCGCCATCCCCTTAACTTACACACCCCAATTATACCTTCAATATCCCCGTTACTCAAGTCCCTCGTTGCAACCCTCTGTGACCTAAATTGGAATGATGCCATGAAGGACGAATATCGTGTTATATTAGACAACCACACTTGGGACTTGGTTTCCTGACCACCGGATGCCTATGTCATACGATCGTCACAAGTTTCATTCAGATGGCTCACTATAAATGTACAAAGTGAGACTTGTTGTCAACAGAAAAATGCAATAGGTTGGGATCGATTGCGAGGACATTTTTAGTCAGGTTGTGACACCACCATCCTAGTGGTGTAACGATCTTGGACCATTGACCAATTGGACATCAAAATGCATTTATCCAAGGTGACCTTGTTGAGATTGTCTACATGCACCAACTCCAGGTTTTGTGGACCCATCAATGCCACACCATGTTTGTCACCTCCGCAAATCCTTATATGGCCTCAAACAAGCACCACGTGCTTGGTATCAGCGGTTTGCGACATTTATCGCCTCACAAGGTTTCTAAAGCAGTACTTGTGATATCTCATTATTTATCTATCAACAGGGAGTTGACATTGTTTATTTACTTTTATATGCCGAAGACATTATCCTTACCGCCTCTAACACCTCTTTGTTGCACCATATTATTTCATCATTTTCCCGTGAGTTTGCTATGATAGATCTTGGAGCCTTGCACCAGTTCCTCGACATCAAAGTTACTAGAGATGCTAACAGGTTGTTTCTCTCCCAAAGCCAGTATGCAAAAGACATTCTCTCTCGGGCTGCCATGTCCTCATGTAATCTAACAGCTACTCCAGTCAATACCTTGTCGAAACTAAGCTCAATAGATGGTCAATTGGTCAAAGATGCCACCCTTTATTGTATCTTGGATGGGGCTCTCCAGTACCTCATGTTTACTCGACCTGACATTACGTATGCCATCTAACAAATATACCTCTTCATGCATGCTCCTTGTGAACCGCATTTCAACTTCCTCAAACGAGTTTTGAGGTATCTCAAAGGCACCTTAGATCATGGTCTATAATTCTCTGTATTGAAGTCTCATGCTTTGAATTGTTAGCCAATAATATCTCTTGATATTATTGGCATGTATATTGTAAATATTTAGTTGTTAGAATTGATTGTATTTCCATAGTTATCTCCTGCTCTCTCTCTTACCTTTGTAATATTTATAGCCATGTATCTTTATGAAATGGACAGGGAATACATTTCTTTACATGGTATCACCCACAGGCTTGATCTCGATCCAGCCTCCATCCTTGTTTTTCCTCTGATCCTTTGTTCTTGCTATCATCATGAGCAACAAAGTTGATCCCAAACCTCTACATCCCGTATACACTGTTACTAACATCCAACACAAAGTCCGTGTGCTCGATGGTGTGAAAGTTTCGTACTCCTCGTGGGTAAAACTTTTCATGCTACATGCCAAAGGGTACGATGTTCTGCAACACATCGACGGTTTCTCGGCCCCAGCTAAAACTTCCACCGACTACCCGTCTTGGGAAAAGATTGTTGCAGTGGTATTACAATGGATCTACGGAACTCTTTCCGATGATCTTCTTGTCCGGGTGTTAGTCGATGATTCTACTGCATTCGAGGCTTGGCAGCGGGTTAAAAACTTGTTCGTTAATAACAAAGGCTCTCGTGCACAGGCGCTACAACATGAACTAACGAACCTGACCCTCGCCGCCATGCCCTCCATTGAAGCTTATTGTCAGCGCATTCGTGATCTTTCAGATCAATTAGCTGCTGTTGATTGCCCACTGAATGATAATCAACTGGTACTCTACCTTGTTCGTGGTCTCCCACGTGAATATGACACTATTGCTTCCATCCTCAATCAAACTCTCCCTTCATGGGAGGATGCCATCGATCGTCTTCAATCCGAAGCACGACGTATTGCCGCCCGGGAAGCTGCCGCCCCTACCCCTCTTGTTGCTGCCGCCGTCACATCTCCACCCACAAAACGTGATGCTCAAGACAACTCTACTTATTCTAATCGGGAGAACCAGAATCGCCTTCCTTCAGGCTCTCGTCGTGACTCCAGCAAAAACGGACGGTCTAATACCTCTAATCGTGGCCCAGGTCAATATTCACAAAGACCCACGATCCAACAACCATTTTATCCTCCACCACCCTATTGGGCTCCACCATATTGGGCTCCTCCATATTGGGCTCCTCCACCTTGCCCTTATCCAACTCAAAGCTGGACACAACCTTGGCAGCACCGAATCAACCCTCGGCCAAGCAGCAACCTACCATCTAACCGTACTGCTCAAGCACATCTCGCCGATGTCGACCCGCTTCAACCCACTCAATTGGCGGATGTTGTTCATGCGTTATCCATGGAACCTTCTGATGAACAATGGTACTTTGACACTGGAGCATCTTCTCATCTCACCTATGATCAAGGTAAACTCGGTAACTTTTCCACTTATTCACCAATATCGTCAATATTCGTAGGTAATGGCAATAAAATTCCGGTTATTGGTTCGGGATCATCCACTATCACTACTCCCTCTAAACCTTTATTATTAAAATCCGTTTTGTTTAATCCCAACATCATAAAAAATCTTATCTCCGTGCGTCAATTTAATATTGATAACAACACTTCTATTAAATTCGACCCATTTGGTTTTTCTATCAAGGATTTCAAGGATGGCACGATCCTGAGTCGTCACAATAGCTCGAGTAACCTTTACCCGCTCACCTACGACACTTCCGCAACCACTTGCTTTGTTTCAACAAATGGATCTCCTTTTTGGCATAACCGACTTGGACACCCGGGTCAACCCATCATGGAATTTCTTCACTCAAAGAATTTCATATCTAACAACAAAATAAAGCAACCTTCTGTTTGTAATTCTTGTCAATTATCCAAACATAAGCGTATGCCTTTTTTAGATTCCGTAACTCGAACCTTATTACCGTTTGCTATTTTACATTGTGATTTGTGGACGTCACCTATTTTAAGTCATGCGGGTTACAAATATTATATGGTTTTAACGGATGAATGTACACACTACACATGGGTTTATCCATTAAAATTTAAATCCGAAACGTTCACTAAATTTGTTCACTTTCATAAATTTGTTGCAACTCAATTTCGGATGCAAATTCAAGCATTCCAATGTGATATGGGGGGTGAATTTGATAACACCAACTTTAAAAACTTTGCAACTCAGCACAGTTTGCAATTTCGTTTCTCTTGTTCGCACACATCTCAGCAAAATGGCAAATCCGAGCGCATGATTCGTCGCTTAAACGAAATCATGTTTACTTTACTCACTCATGCTTCTCTACCATCCTCCTTTTGGGTTGAGGCTCTTCACACGGCTTCGTATCTTCACAACATACTACCAACAAAACTCCTCAACAATCACACCCCCATCTCCTTGCTTTACCTTCGCCAACCATCCTATGAACATCTTCGTGTGTTCGGATGTATGTGCTACCCCAACACCTCTTCCACCCGTCCCCATAAGCTTACTCACCGGTCCACTCCATGTGTCTTCCTCGGTTACCCGGCCAATTATCGTGGCTATCGGTGTTTAGAAATTTCAAGCGGCAAAACAATTCTCTCTAGACACGTTACTTTTGATGAAGCTCAGTTCCCTTTCTCCAACCCATCACAACCAGCACCCACTCACGCATTTTTAGACCCGTCTCCCTTACTATTTACCCAACCCAACATCTTCTCCAGCCCAATAGTCGCACCTGGACCACCCATAATTAATGACCCACCATCACCACCCACCGGTCCAAACAACGAACCTGGCCCAATGCCACCTAATCCACCACCACCTCCCGTGACCACTTCCTCTCACCCCATGCAAACACGTTCTCAATCGGGTATTTTTAAACCTCGTCAACCCTTGTCTCTCCACACTGAAACCTCTCCCTCTATCTCTCCTTTACCCAAATCTCATCTAACTGCTCTTGCCGACCATAACTGGAAACTTGCCATGACTAATGAATATGAAGCTCTATTGGCAAGTAATACGTGGAAACTTGTACCGAGACCTACCAATGCACCTATCATTTGCTGCATGTGGTTGTTTAAACATAAATTCCATGCTGATGGCACATTGGAAAGACATAAAGCTCGACTTGTTGTTAATGGAAAAAGTCAAACAGTGGGCATTGATTGTGACGAAACCTTCAATCTCGTGGTTAAACCAACCACCATACGGACTGTCCTCAGCTTAGCCGTCTCCAAAGCTTGGCCCATTCACCAGTTGGATGTTAAAAACGCTTTTCTACATGGGCATCTTAATGAGACCGTCTATATGTTTCAGCCACCAGGGTTTGTCTCCTCCACCTACCCGAACCATGTTTGCAAGCTAAACAAATCCCTTTATGGACTGAAACAAGCCCCAAGGGCGTGGTACCACCGCTTTGCAGGATATATCTCAAAGTGTGGTTTTCAAAGTAGCGTATGTGATACCTCTCTGTTTATCTATCGAAAAGGTGACCAAATGGCATACTTACTTCTTTATGTGGACGATATCATCCTCACTGCTTCCAGCACCACCCTTCTTCACAGCATCATCAACTCTCTCTTTGCTGAGTTTAAAATGACAGACCTTGGTGCTCTAAACCACTTCCTTGGCATTATCGTTCACAAAGATAAAAATAACATGTTCCTGTCTCAATCAAAGTATGCTGCAGACATTTTATCTCGTGCAAATATGTCTAACTGCAAGCCTGTTAGCACCCCCGTAGAGGTTGGGTCAAAGCTTAGTGCTAACACTGGTGTGCTGTTACCCGATGGATCATTATATCGAAGTCTAGCCGGTGCCTTACAGTATCTCACCATTACACAACCGGACATATCGTATGCAGTTCAACAAGTTTGTCTCTTTATGCATGCTCCAAGAGAACCTCATTTTCAGCTGCTTAAACGGATCTTAAGGTACCTCAAAGGCACTCTCTCTCAAGGATTGCTTATCTCACCATCTCAATCCCTCACCCTTACGGCATATTCAGATGCGGATTGGGGTGGGTGCCCTAACTCTCGCAGGTCAACCTCTGGCTACTGTGTCTTCATGGGACCTAACCTAATATCTTGGTCCTCAAAGCGACAACCTACAATCTCGCGATCTAGTGCCGAAGCTGAATATCGGGGAGTCGCAAACACCGTAGCTGAAGTCAGTTGGATCCGTAATCTCCTGCTCGAACTACACGTACCTGTTAGACATGCCACGCTCGTCTATTGTGACAACATCTCCGCTGTCTACTTGGCTGAAAATCCGGTACAACATCAACGTACCAAACACGTAGAACTGGATATCCACTTTGTTCGAGAGAGAGTTCATGTAGGTTCTGTTAAAGTCTTGCACATCCCTGCGGATTATCAATATGCAGATATCTTCACCAAGGGCTTACCGAAACACCTATTTCTTCGTTTTTGATCCAGTTTATGCCTACGCCCATCTATGGCTCAAACTGCGGGGGACTGTTAGCCAATAATATCTCTTGATATTATTGGCATGTATATTGTAAATATTTAGTTGTTAGAATTGATTGTATTTCCATAGTTATCTCCTGCTCTCTCTCTTACCTTTGTAATATTTATAGCCATGTATCTTTATGAAATGGACAGGGAATACATTTCTTTACATGAATGCATACTCTGACGCAGATTAAGGCAGTTGCTCTAAATTTGACCAATCCACATCAGGTTCTTGTATTTTTCTAACATGACAACCTCATCTCTTGGTCCTCTAAACGACAGGTTATGGTCTTCGGATCCAACACATGTTCACACGTTTCAGATCCATCCTGGCTGTCCAACCTACTCCCGCTCTGACTGTGGGGGTGTATTAGGAAACGATATTGTTAATATTTTATTGTAGATTGTTTCCTTACATCCATCTTATATTGTTAGCAAGAATCATCCTTATCAATAGGGTAGATAATTATCTTTAAGAGTTCTCCTCGTATTCTATATGTACTTAAATATATCAAATACCCAAGGAAGGGGGATTATTCAATATCCTACAAATAAATTTATAAAATATTTTAATAAATATAATTAATGATGAAATTATTAAAATAGAGTGTGAGTCCACAATATGATCAATCTTCATATGTCTTCAAGAATCCATGGCAGAACCATTAAACATTCAAGAACACTTGAGAGGAGATTGAGAGGAAAAGTCAACAGGTCAAAGTCTCTACATTATTCTCAATATGTACGTATGTTTTACAATAAAAGCTCTCCTACAAATTCACTAGAAGACAAAAGCTTATATAGGGTCAAACATTAACCCTTCTAGTCAAAGTCAAACTGATTAACAAAGTCAAACACACTATCTATACAATTAGAGAATTAACTTTCAAGACGAATACAATTTAACACTGAAATTCAGTCCCAACATAGAGTAATATTTAGAAGTAAGGGGTTGTTTATTAATCTCTTATCACCTATTATTTGATAAGAGATTCTTACCCTAATAAGAGGTTTGATGTTTACCAAAAACAAATCACTCATCTAACTGTTGATTAATCGCTGACCGTGTGCTGACCAAAGACAAGAGAAGAGGACATCTCTTTCCATAGTAAGAGATCATGTTTTAAAGGCTTTCCTCCTTTACCCTCTCCAAAACCCTCTACCTACCCTATATTTTCTTTCTTCTCTCTATTGCTCTCAGAAACCTGCCATAATCACCGCCAATGATGCATTAGACATAGATAAAGATGATTAAGAAAACCCATTGAATCAATCAAGAAACAAAAGAGGGTCCACATGTAACAAATCCTTAAAAGAGAAACTACTTAAAAGTTTCTCAACAAGCTCCAATAGGTTTGTTTGGAGCGAATCAAGAAGATATATTGAACACAGAGAAAAGATATGTGTTTTGTTTTAGGATTAAACAAATAGAAAATAGACGTTTTAAACATAGACGGTGGTAAGGGGGTGAAAAAGAGAGAGAAAGAACACATGTGAATAATGTGATGGTATTTGTCTTGGAATTAAAAGAAAGAGGGGAGAGAAAGAGAACAATACGATGTAATATAAAAGGTGAAATGAAGATTCGAAATATTTATTACTTTATTAAAATAAAAGGAAGCCCATTTGATCCATTTTCTGTTAGTAATATTAGGGGAAACAAGAGGATATGCATTACTTGGTAACAAATAGATATAGGGGTAAACTAGTCCTTTTTATTTATTCAGCCTAATACAAAATATTTGATAAACAATAATTTCGGTCAACACTTACCTGAGTCAGATCTCTTATTCAAATCAGACCTCTTACCATAATTAACATTTACTCATAAATTTTGGTAAACAACCCCTAAGTGTAACTGTTTTTAAATTTTACTTTTTAATACTTTATTTTAAAAAAATATAGTGTAATCATTATAAATACTCTAAATTTATAAATATAGTCATAAAAAAGCAAGGTTCTAAAAAACGTGTTATGGCGTGCCACAACGTCGAGGTTAAAGCCCATGGCATGACCCTGAGGCGTGACTTGCAATAAGATGCGTTATAGCGGGTTATGACGCATTGTAGTGGATTATAAGGGGTGAATGAGGCTTATTTTTGTTTTTATACTCCTTTTATATATAAATTATTGCTTATTAAACCAAATATTAATAATTCTAATTATTCACCGAGAGCGGGAATTCATTAACCACAAGTTAAAGACAAGGAGGATTTTAAATTCAATTTCATAGACAACTGTATATAATATATATATATATATAATATATATATAAATATTTGTCGTCTTAAGTCACGTCTTAAAATACACCATAATCTTACCGTAACTCGTAAAGCTTGAGACTTGATCTACCACCGCGACACGTCACGTCTCACACCATTTAAATTGTTTGTAAAAAGGTAAGATGAAAAGAAAATCGAAAAATAGCGATAACTTTATATTTTATTTGGATTGGGAAAGACATAACGCGTGTGGATGGGATGACTTCCATTCAAACCGAGAGATTTTTATCCATTTCGAATATGGATTTAGTCAAATGCCAAATATACCCTCGTTCCAATTGACAATTCTACCCTTACTACATTGGAAATGTATATCTTTGACTATTGAAAGAGTCAAAATAACAAACACCAATTTTTAATAAAAATATATAATTCAAAAATTAAAGCAATATCATCCAAGTACTTGTAATTATCACGATGACCAAAATCTAGTATTTAAACCAAGGAGTAACAGTGCATCGCCATAAATTTGTATTTAAAGTTATTCGTTGTACGCTTCATTAGACCTGTACTGCCCGTCTCGTTAGAAAAAAACGGATTTGGAGGGATCAAATCCGTAATCCATTCAAAAAAATTGTTAGATCT